TAATATAAACAGTCAAAATTGCATGCATCTGCGGTAATTTGTTTTAGAGTTACACCAACAACCAAAATCGCATTGCCAAAAATCGATTTTGCGTAAAAATTCCTGTTTTTCAATTATTTTTCTTTTATTTTACACGGCGCTTTTGAAAATGTTTACTTATTACCCCCCAAAGTACCAACTATATTCACTTTCCTATCAGAAAAGATACTGTTGAAGAAAATCAAAGCGAATATACTTAAAGGTGACGACAGACACACAAAAAAAAATAAAATAAAAAGTATAAATAGAAAGGTGGGCAAGTGGGTGTCGCTCTGCTGTACAGTAGGTTACAAGTGGGTCACTGTATAATGGATGATATTAAAATTGAATTCAATAATATATTATGATTGTATAAGAAAAACGATTCTGAGCGGAGACGGTATGTCAGTCTAGGTATAAGACATATTATATACATAACTATGGTACTAAACAAAAAATTGACCTATAATAGGTACCTATATTAAATTCCAAATTAATCATATCACAATATCCATTAGGTACTTATAACGCGTTCTACATCAACAAAAACCGTGATACTATCATATATATATAATGGTACGCTTTAAAAGTTTCAAGTAGGTACCCACGAATAATATTATTCAATCACAATAAAATAGGTAACTAAAATAGTTATTCTAGGTTTTTTAATATGTAATTTCGTCCAAATTTGAATTTAAAATGTCTGTAAAAAATAACTGTGTTCATATATTTTTTAGAATTTTTGGTTACATTATGGACTATTTATGAGAACCTTTGTTTTAAATTTTCAATCCTTAGCTATAAAAACTGAACATTTTATAATTTATTAATTACAATGATTGATAATTTTCGAGATTTTGATACATTTTGTCAAAATTCCAACTTTAAATGATTATAAAAAAAAATTGAGACAATGCATTTTCAATGTTTTTGAACTGATATTGTAACAATATATCAGGAGTCTTGTATTCAATTTTTACACTTCTCTGCCAAACAGATAAAACTTAATTGATATTTATAGAAAAAAAAACTAATAAAATTTAAAACTGTAAATGTCCGTAAACAGCTCAAAAAGAGTCAAAATATTTTCAAAATTGTATGGTGTATAGAAAATGCTAATTTAAACATTCAGTGAAATTTTCATGTATCTACAGTTATTGGTTTTTGAATTACAACAAAATAAGGAAATCGCTACATGAGAAATCGAGTGAATACCCAATGTTGTAAAAATTTGAATTTCAAACGCTCATAAAAATTTAATTTGCCTTTCTTATAGACATTTTTTTTTTTTTGATAAAGGTAGATAATCTTATAAGGAATCTTGTATTACATTTTCAAATCTTAGATTTAAAAAGAAACATTTTTACGAATAATTCTTAACTAAATATTCTTAACTCAAAGTTATTCGCTAATTTTCGTGATTTTACCATATTTTGTCAATTGTTGAACTTCGGGGTTGCAGGGGAGATCATACCTGCCCAGCGACCTAACAACTAAGTAGTAACAAGTCATTTTAATCTTGTTAGTTAAAGTTACACATTTATAAGTTATTGATAGTACTATCATAATTTATAGAGCCATTATTCCGTGCTATTACCGTGCGTGAAACACAAATAAAATGAGGTAAAACAGAATACCGTGGTAAAAATGAACATCCCATATCAGTCATGTCTAACTGATAAGTCGTTCTCATTCATATTGACATAATATTCCGATCTATAAATATTATATTATTGCAACATGACTAATGAATAATGATTAATGAACCTTATGTACTAAGACACTAAAACTATTTAATTATTTATATATATCTACGCCGATCGGCAATTTTATGATTACATTTAAAATTAATATATTAATATGTATTAAATGTTTATAACACACAGTATAACACCAAACATAATATAGAAAATAAAACTCAATATAAACATAATATACTATATAGTACAATAATTATTATAATATTAGATTTATTGCTATCGAGTTTGCAGGTAAGTGCGAAAAAAAATTAATATTCGTAATAGGTGCAGTAAACTAGTTACGCGCGAATGCTCAAAAATCGTAAAATAGTGAACTTTATTAGGCCATAACTTCGAAACTAAGTCCGACCTCCAAATTCTGACTTCACCATCGTTCTCATTATAGTAAACTACATAAGTCTAATCAAAAAAAAAATTGCAAAAAAAGGGTGTCCGGTAAAGTAACAAAATACCAAAAATTGTTGTTAAATTTTGTTATCATATGGTTGTCGTGAACGATGTGTGATGACTCGAGAAAACTTTTTTTGACTGTGACTGTTGCTCAATAGTCAATAATCCTATTTAATCGATTGCTTATTTTTATTTATTTTTTAAATTTAAACATTTTGAATTTCGTTTTAATAGAAACGTGTCAACCGTATACAAGTCAGATTTTAATTTACTTGGAACAGTTGTGCATATTTCAGATCCAGAGATTGAACAGTTAAAATGTTCAAAACTGTTCCTGTTTTACAGTAGATAGGTACTTATAATTAAAAACCGCATGATTTGCTATTGATATACAACAAGGATGATGCAGGAGTTTTGGGACACGGTATATAGGTATGGTTTATAATATGATGTGACATGTGTAATATAAACTATAAAGAATCAAATCAAATGTATCTAGTTTATTATATAAGATAATTTTTCCACCGATTTTATCTGGGGGTCTTTTCCGGGACTTTTCTTTCCTAATAAGTATACTAATACTATTACTAATACTCATAATAAGTAATTTATACAAATTACCAAGACCCAAAGTATACATTTTATAATTGGTTTCATGTTTATTTAATGATAATTTGTTTGAAGGTATTATTTATTTTAGTCAATGTAAATACTCTTTCTTTTATATTCATATTTTTCAATCTATAAAGGTCTGCTAATAAAATCTAAATCAGTTGGTACTTTGCGTTGTCAAAAATAAAAATTTCCTAGTAGTTTTCACAAGCGCCGGGAAAAACAATATAAAAATTATGGAAAAAACTGTTTTCCAAAAAATCGATTTTGGTTTTTGGTATAACTCTAAAACAAATGAACGTATATACATGAAATTTTCACTCGTTGTTTATATTTGCATTTTCTATACACGATAAAATTTTTAAAATTGTATGATATGTTTTGAACTGTTTAGGGACATTTTCATTTTCCATTTTTTTTAGTTTTTATTCTAAAAATATCAATACAATTTTATTTGTCCGTTTCGAAAGCTTGAAAATTGAATAGAAGGCTCCTAGTATATTGTTTCAAAGGCAGATGAAAAATATTAAAAATCCTTAGTCACAATTTTTTTTATAAGTATTTAATGTTCAAAAATTGACAAAATATAGAAAAAGAACGAAAATTAGCAAATTATTTTGAGTTTAATTAATTAATAAAATTAGTTTAATTCGTAAAAATTTTTCTTTTTAAATCTAAGATTTGAAAATGTAATGCAAGATTACTCATAAGTTTTTCTACCTTTATCAATAAAAAAATCTCTACCGGAAAGTCAATTTAAATTTTTATGAGCGTTTGAAATTCAAATTTTTTAATTTTTTTTAAAATTTTCAAATTTTTACGACGACCCGTAATAATAATTTAAAAAAGATGGTTAAGTTCATATCTTATATTAAAAACAATATAAACTTAAATGAAATATTAAGAGTATAAAAAAATAAATGGTCAATTTTTTTATATTCTAGACTGTAGTTAGAACATCGGTGATTGCGTCATTGAAAATTATAAATTTAGAATTTATTATTATAATATAATAAGACTTTTATTATTTAAACCAACACTTTTAATAACCACCTTTAATAAACTTTCATCCACTAGTAGAGTCAAAAACATGGTATAGTTCACTGCTTAGCCTTCCCTACAAAGCAAATCACACACCATCAGTCTTCATTCAACCTTCTACCCAGTGACACTACAACACTCAGAAGCAACGAAGACCTGAAAATTCGACGAAATCCACCAGTCGACGATAAGCAGAACCAGCAGCCAGACGTGAGCATGCCTTATTTCGCTCCCAGATCGAATTATACCTAAGCCCGCCGTTACCACCACATTGCCAAGTTACAATACCTATTGAGAGAATGTCGCTGGACCACGAGCAACATAAACAAAACGAAATTTAAGCAGAATCATTTTTTCTATATTTTTAAATAATCTTGAGTAAAATCACCAATTACAAAAGATATAGAGTATAATATTTTTGAGGGAATGACATAGTTAAAGTGTTAAACAATTAAATGTGATTATTGACATTATTTCTTGTCCTTCGCGAGAGAGTCCATATAGAGAGTCTGTATTACAAATGGATGGTTGTAGCCTAAAATCACTCTCAACATTCAGTTTATTTCTATATTTATTAAAAAAAAAAAAAAATCCAAGTAAAAATATCACGTTGACACTTTACACGGATAATTTGTCGAAAAGCTCATCAAGTTTCTCAGTGAAATTTAAATGATTTCTGGATAGTCTTTCCCAACATTTCACTAGAATGGCACTAATACTTTACTGACTAACGGGACTCTTAAGTAATCTGTGTTTAAACATAGTTCAAATAAATTAAGTGCCATCTCACCATCGGGACTTATATGTCACCCAGTTTTTATTCGATAATATTTTCGAAAATGTTCTGTTAAATCAATAGATAACGTTAAATATATCACTTAATAAAATTAATATTGTTTAGTCCATTAAATAAATTTCAATATTTTTATAAATAGCCTCAGCGCGAACCACTATAGATAAGAATTGGGTTTTGTTATTTTTATTTTTGTTATAATTCCGTTAAACAGAACGTACTGTTAGATAATTTTTTTATTGTATATAAATATGTGTTTATTGACAATAATCACAACGAACTTATGGTCCCTATGGTCTATAGCGACACTTTTATAGTTTACAAATATTATTATAATCAAGCTCTCGAACGCCAAGTGTATCGTGTATATTTTATGCTCTTCGCTCATGAGTGTGTTCGCTGGTTCGCATTTTAAATTTACTGGTTCATTTTTCAACTATAAAATGAATAAATATTCAAAATTAAACAATCGCGAGGTTGAGAATATATTAGTTGAGATTCCTGGCGATGATGGTGGTCTAACTGATCTCGAAGATGAAAGCGACGATGATTATTTGGTTGAAGAAAAAAATTATTTGGACTTATTAGATTCAAGCGCGAATGTTATATATTGAATTTATGTTTATAAATTACAACTATGTCTTACCTTTTTTCAATAATTTAAATAATAGAAGTCTTATTATATTATAATAATGAATTATAAATTTATAATTTTCAATGACGCAATCATCCATGTCTTAACTACAGTATAGAATATAAAAAAATTGACCACTTATTTTTTTATACTCATAATATTTCCTTTAAGTTTATATTGTTTTTAATATAAGATATGAACTATATCCAAATTTTACATTGTCATTATTTTTTAAAATAATTAATTAATTAATTGTATACTAATTATTAAATATTTATCATTAGATTTAAGAAAATAGTAGTATCGTAATGGACCAAAGGGACTTTTAAGTATACACCTTAAATGACCAATGGGACTTATTTGTCACAGCCCTTAAAAATATATAAAAAAAACCTCAAATTTAAAATATCATAATTTTAAAATTCATCAAAAAAATAATAAATTGAAATGTTGCAAAAAAACATTAAATTTCTATCACCTTTTATGGTTGGTCTACAAAGGGTTAAAATAAACTATTTTAGAGTCTGATTACATGCAAGTTCAATCAACAAATCTTCTTCACTTGCTTTACATCATGCACAATAAAATACGATAAAAATTACAAATAACAGGAACCAATTATTAATATAAACTAGGTACATGAGATAAAACTACATCAAAAATTCGATATCGTTAATTGTACCTACATAAATTGTACATTGTTGTAGTATTATTAATAATGATTAAATATTATTATAAGTTTTAACCTTAAATATTATAAGGCCGTGGTTCTCAACCGGTGTGTCGCGACACACTAGTGTGTCGCGTATTACCGTGTTGTGTGTCGCCAAAATATTATATTATTCATATATTAATAATATATTACATATAATTTCATTTGACATAATAATTAATATGATATTATTTCAGCATTATGATGAAATAGTAAAACCCAGAGATAAGAAAAACAATTATGAAGATATTATTCCCTCGTAATGATTTCGACGTAATCTCATAACTGATAAATAGTAAAAAAATTTTAAGTGTGTGGCCATTTTATGGATCTAAATTAAGGTGTCGTCGTACAAAAAAGGTTGAGAACCACTGTTATAAGGTATATAATAAAAAGATTTATATAATAATATTGTTTTAAGTATATATAATATTTAAACGGAGCCTCGAGGCCACCAAAACACCAAGTGGCTTGCGGCCCATGTGTTGGGAACAGCTGTTAAATATAAACGATTACCTGGAGGTTTGAGTGTGTTGAACAATTTTATTTTATACAATAAATGATTTCAAATTGTATGAATTGAGGGGGTCACCGCTGCCCGTGTCATGTTGTGTTGTGTAAAATCGAGATCTTTCAATAACTATATCAAAATAATTATTTCATCACACGATACCACATTATCCAAACGATAGCGCATAGTTGAATACATTCAACTTTTAGTCTTATAATTACAGATGAGTTCAGAAACATGTCAAATAGATCTTCGCAAGAAAGAAATTGTTGGAACCGTATATAAAAACTTCCTATATTGGCCCCTTTTCTGCAATTAACAAAACCATATGATAATTGACGACAATAGGTAGTAATATATTCATATTTCATTTTAATACATTATATTTTAGATAAGCAAATAAATTGTATAATGAACAAAATGATACCATAAAAAAAATTGTTTATATTATTAGGAAATGAATTTGATATCAAGAATATAATTTACTATGAATTGTAACTACATTATTTTAAATTAAAATTATTTCTAGTCACTTAGTTGGTATATTATTAGGATTGGTAGCATGACTTCAAAATTTACTAATTAAGGTAGGTACTCTAAAATTATTCTCGCAGTATATTGTGGTTTTTAAAATGTTTTCTAAAATTATTATGCCATTTAAAAATTGGTTATAATATTCAACAGTTTTATAATCTGTGTTCAATTCCGATAATTTTAGGTACTGCAATTTAGGACTATATGAGTATTATTTATTAGTCAGTTCAAAGTAAAATGGTGAAATACATATAAAATTATCTTCATTTGAGGGGTGACATTTCAAAACGTACCATTCCCATTTTACTCTTTTTTGAGAAATCACGATTCTTTATTTTTAGTTACCAGTGGAAATAGTAAGTTTTGAACAAACTATTTATCTTTTATGAGTTTCAGATTGATTTTAACAAAAATTAAATTTATTAATATTTATTCAAAATTTGAATAAAAAAAATGAATATCTAACCTTTGGTATTATACATTTAAAATAGTATTCAAAATTTTCATATTGGCAAAATACTTACAAAAATTTTAAAATGTTAAGTATACAACATTATATATAGATAAACCTATAGTTATAATTAGAGTTAGGATGTTGATGACTTTTGCATTTTTTTTCCTTTTATTCTGTACAATGCTATCCTAGCTAAAAATTTGTTTTCATGCTCCCTTGATGCAGAATATTCTAATTTTATTTTGCATTTTTTTTTTAATTTTTTGAATTTAAAGCTATAAATGCATTTTTTTGTTTTTAACGTCATTTTTTTATCTATTAGGGCATTTTTTGTACTTTTTATACAATGTGGGGCATTTTTCACAAATTATAGATTTTAGTGCAAATGTTACACCCAAGTTTGGAAACAAATTTAATTTATTTAAATTCTAACTTTGGATTTGTACTATTAGTAAAAAATAATTTTAATATTATTATTGTGGGGTTTTTGTTGTGATTACATTTCTCGCATTCCGATAAGATTTACTATTTGAGTGTTATATATTGATGGAACGATTGCTCTTTCAGACATACGCCGATCATACACACTTATCGAGTATTATATTTATAAATGTATGGAATAAATACTATAAACAAGATTAAATTGACATAGACATTAGACCTATTAATTGATTGACGTGCTTATAATTGCAGTAAAAGGAACTATTGTCAGTAGTGTTTTTTGTTATTTATTTTTAATATTGAAATTTATTTATAAATTATTTAAATGCTTCTACTATTACACCCATTATTATACCCATATCTCTAATAAAAATTATTATTTATAAAAAGGTTTTTTCACTTACTTAATTAGTATTTTAGATAATTTTTAAGGTCATTTTTTGAAGTTTTTAGGGCATTTTTGTTTGTTTTTTAGGTCATCACATATTAACTCTAGTCATAATATTCCAACCACAGCACTCATATTCTATTAATAGCAATGATTATACCTAGTACACTCGGATAGTCGGATAATATAGTTCATAATTTATCAATAAACATTAAAATAACGAACATTAATATTTGTATCAAAATAATTTATAATGTTTTTCTGAGATATTTCATGCTTCAAACACTAGCAATTATAAAATGTTATAACTTATAAACGATAAAAAAATATTGAGTCTCAAAATATTAAAGTATACGTCTCTGAACACTACACGTTACCGTAGTTTCGGGTCCATATTTTTGTGACCGGTCAAGCCGCCTACCTTAAAACAGGCGATTTTTACAAAGAAGAAAATATTTAATTTTTTTTTTTATTGTAAATACAGCATTAAAATTACATAATTTTCGTTTTCTTATGATTTACGTCCAATGACAGTGTCTGGTAACTGGTATGGTGGGGCTTTCGTGATTACAGTCGTGGTTTCAGGGATTTTACCGTTCGAGTTTTCACACTACTATTCTCATTAGAGAGAAACCATTCTCCCTCGATACCTGAATACATACATAATATTACATAATATATTATAATGAATCTGTCATATCATGCAAACAAGCATAAAAAACAATACTACAATTCACACTAATTATCGATGCAAGTACAATATATTATTTGGGTATAGTATTAATAAGCAGGTTTACGTATATTTATACCAAACCATTTAAGTATGTATACGACAAAATAGTTACAAAGTGTTATACTCACTCTGAATAAAAACTCCGCGGGAGCTTCCGTTATCTGTGACTGTGAAGTTAACTGTCTGGTGTTTTAGTGTTCCAGCTATAAAATACACAATTTGTAATGTTAAATATAACGTAAGGCAAAAAAATGAAATAAAAATTGCACAGTAAGCCAACGAGGAGAACATTATTAGTATGGTGGAAGGTTTCATACTTGCGTTTAGACGACAAGAATAAAAAATTACTCAAATTTTAAACGATTTAAAATAGTTTTAACCGGTAGTATTATTCATAACACTGTAAAAAATTGAATATTTTCTTTAGACAACTTTTTTGTCGGAATACCTTTACTCGGCTAAGCTTTTAAGTGGACTGACGGATGTCTTAAAGTGTATATTCGTATCCATGTATATTTGATACGGATAAACATAATGAGGTGGCATAGGAAATGTCGCATTTATTTATTCTTATAAATATTGTTCCGTACTTTACGGCCAGCTTATTATTATTTTGATATAAAAATATTGCGTAATTGTAGTTTTTTAATGTCGTTAAAACTAATAACGCTGGTTCTTTTTTTAGACGATTGCAGTTGTGGGCTGAACTATTCGAATTGTTTGACGTATTATGAGCCTAAAATGTACATACGTAACTGCTACTAGGAACTGCGTAAACAGATAAATATTATAATTTCTAAATAATATCGATTTCAAAATTATGTAACTATTCATTATTGAATTTTGTCATGATTATTAATTTACTTATTATATATTTATATGTGACAATATAATAATTAAAAATTAAGACACATATATGTGCGTTTAGTGTTTACTTATGATAATGTATATTCAAATTTCACCAATTTGGAACTATTTCTAACAAATAGATTATCCTATATAAACACGAGTTTGAAGTGACACATTATGCAATCTTTTTCAGACCAATGGAAAAAAATCTATTTTAATCCAATTGACAGTCAATATATTTACGTTATTAAGTTAATTAGAAAATGAAGGAACAAGCAAGTTTTGTCAAAAGTTTAAAAAATATTAACCTTTTAACTAGTTAATGCTCACGTTCGATAAAAATTATCATAATAATAAT